GGACGAGCGAATAAGAAAGAAAATAGAGCATGACCTCAACAGAACTAATAGACTTCATGGGAAACGAGCGCTCGATAAAATACCCAAGACAGCTGGTTCACTTGGAACCTTGAGGCCTTCTCCGGCAATAACTCTACTGGGTAAGGAATGTACACTTGGAACGTAGTTCTTTAGTCGTTCTCATATATTGATCATGTGTGACTACTAGAAGTTTAATGAATTTTTATAAAACATTTAATGAACATTGGCACTTGTGTTCGCGATCCAACACCCAAGCGGCTCTGATCCAAAAAAAAATCTGATAGAATAAAAAGAGTAAATCACATAGATGGTTAAGTTCTAACTCAATTTATACTTGCATATTATACTGTAGAGACGGCAACTGTAATGGATGCCGCACGTCTAATGGCAGTAAATAGGTTGTTATTTCAATTCCAAAATACCTTTCTAAAGTGAGTTATAATTCAAACAATTGGAATTCAAATTTCATATATCATAATTAGAGCAACGGCGGTACTTGTGGTAGATGAAAGTGACAGGTTGATAGGAATTGTCACGGACAAGGATTTGTCTTTTAGAGTGTGTGCTGAAGGTCTCAATCCTAATGCAACGGCTCTAGCACAAATAATGACGAGGGATCCGGATTGTGTCACCATATCATCAAATGCGACTGACGCTCTAAATCGCATGGTATCAGGTGGATTCCGACATTTGGTAGGTCAATCACATGAATTAATGATGAATCGATTATCCTTCTATGCATTATTAATCAAATAATAATAATTTATTTATTTATTAAACTGCTAAGCCAATTCTTGATGATTCCGGAGATATCATAGGGTTGCTCGATATTACCGAATGCTTGCTTCATGCTCTCGCCAGGCTTGAAAAGGCAGATGCAACAACGAGGCAGTTATTTGCAGTGCTGGATGACGTCACTGGCAAAGATTCCTTGAATAAGATTGATTTCTCGACCATGGCAACAACTATCAAAGAATATCTTTGTTTCCCTAAGTTGAGTTCCGTTATGGATCCATCTAGGACTCTTCCAGAGATTTCCATTAAAAAAACAGTGCTGGAAGCTGCTCAACACATGAAGGAACATCATCAAACAGCTGTTTTGGTTGTAGACGACAACAACAAGCCAGTTGGGATCTTCACGACCAAGGACATAGTAACTAGGTAGAAATTTGTATTAATAATTTGTTTCTTGAGCAAAAACTAGTCAATCGATTTCACGAGTTTATAATTAATTTTGAATGTGTAGGATATATGGGCAAAACTTTGAGCCATCAAATACTTCAACGATAAGAGTGATGACACCAAACCCAGATATGGTCTCAACAGATACTACAATTTTGCAGGCTCTCCGACAAATGCAAGGTGAGAAAACCATCGATGAAATTTGTTTTTTAATGGATAGTCGTTTCTCACATGTTCCACTTATTTTCATCACCTTAATAGATGAGCGCTACCAACATTTGCCTTTGATCAATAACAAAAAAATTGTGATTGGGATAGTTGATATTCTGCAACTCACTTATTCTACACTGAATACTGTTGGTGTTTCATTTCCTCTTTCGAGTTGATTAACTTCCATAATTGTGATTTTAACATCTCTTGCTTTAATCTCAGCTGAAATCGTTGAATGGTGAACAGGTTGAAGACGGAGTAGTTTGGAACAAATTCTGGAATTCAATGACCCCTGAAGATCCAAGATCTGAAGAACCTAAATCTGATGATTCAACATCGGAACCGCCCCCTAATGAAAATTCTATGATCACTGGTTTAGTCGAGAATCCGATAATTAAACAGAGGGCACCGTCAACATCTATCCTAACCCCACCTTCTACCGAGAATACAATTCCATCTAGTCCATCCAGAAGAAACTCTCGTGCTTCTAGGCTTGAAGAGGGTGCATTCATTTACAAGTGTAAGTACGAAAAATCGAAGGAATCGCACCGATTCACCTCCAAAACACAAAAATTTTCGGAATTATGCAAACAAGTTCGATCAAAGATGAATATAAGTAAAGATTCCGAATTCGTCGTCAGCTACATGGATGATGAAAACGATAAGATCATGCTGTCTTCGGATGATGATCTTGCGAATGCCATTGAATTAGCCAGATCACAAAATTCACCAATGGTTCGATTGTTTGTTGAGGTGAAATCGAACGAAAGTTCAAACGAAATCAAGCAATCCGAAGAAAGTGATGACATAACGTGTTTATCATACCCACCCTCTCCACGACGATTATCACCCAGGTTATCGAATTCAGATGCGACAACAGCGGCGACTATCGGAGGATTTCTCACCATAGGCGTTGCCATTGGTGTGGGGGTAATGTGGGCCGCAAAATCCAAATGATAAGATTAAGCTTTAATTAATTATTATCTATAGTTTTTTTTTTTTACCCATTAATTTTCCTCCCCTATGCAAAAATTTATTTCAGCAATTTAATATGCAATCCTGAGTGATAATCTAATTCAACCATACATACAGACGAAGTCTATCATTATTATTCAATCTTTCTGTTTCGCAATATCTTTTGTAGAAAAAATAATTGAGTTGGGATGCAACTTCATAATCATGTATATTTTAACAAGATTTCCCTTTTCATATAAACACGCGAACGGTTTTAGAACCTACTTCATGTTACGTATATAGAATCACTCAATTTGATTGGTTGGCTTGACTGTAACACAACACTAACAAATTAATAAATCACGCATAAATTACTAAGGCAAGTCACCTTCTATCGATCTAAATAACTTCCTACGTGGTATAGCATAAAACCTAGTGAAGATGGTAAAAGTTGTAAAAGGTGATCTACATTCTTTAACGTACGGGCGATATTATCAGTTTGTTTTTCGCTCAATTTAACAATCCATTTTAAAAATAATATTTAACCAAGGTGTCATCCTAACATGGTATTTATCAAACGTTAATCTTCATGAAGAGAATCACAAGGGAAAAAACTCTTTTTTAATAACATTTTTACATGCATTGAAAAAAAAAAAAAAAGTGATCCGACTGTAAAGCAAGTTATTTATAAACTTGACGAAAAAGAAAAAGTAAAGTTCATCATCGAGGATCTTGATGAGACACATTTGTTTGTTGATGCTTCTAAAGTTGAACACATAAAGGCAGAGGTAGAGAAGTTATTAGAAGAGAATACTTACAAGACTGAATTACCGTTTCCGTCAAACGAAAAATAATTTTTTGATAAGGAGATTCATAAACGCTTTTGAATTACTAATAATAAATATATATTATCTTAAATAACTTGAATATTACTTCCTCTTGCCGTGATTTAAATCCACCGGATAAAGATAGTAACAAACAAATGGCGAGAGGCGATATATATATACATATATATTGATTTTGTTTTTTTGTTTTTTCATCATCCGTTCTATACCGACATGTATTCAATGTATATCCATCCTTCGAAGCCTAAGAACACTATCTTTAAGTCTGCGGTGTACATGGGAACCGAGTTCCGCATTATGCATAAAATTTTCTTCGCCGACCTTTTTTTTGACTTTGCATTATGATCGTTGTTATCACAATTGTTGCCAGCAATCACACCTAACTTTCCACACGACTCTCTTATTAATTCTACTGGTTCGTGTCAACTTGCCCTTTTCGTTCAAAATATTGCGAAGATTTCATGACCATTGTACCCTGATCTACCACCCATTCGCCTACATCGAGAAATTTATCAACGGCTTTTCGAAGATCTTGGTTTTCAATATTGCTTGTGACGAGCCTCAATTCAAACATAGAAATTTTAAAACATGAGAACAACGGGGTAGATACACTAATAAATTCTAACAACACTCACGATAGACCGCTTGAACGTTTTATGCCAGCCAAGACAGCAGACACCAAAACTGCATCCACTGCAACATGTACAACCTTGCCGAATACCATTATTCCTGGGAGCTTTTGGAAGAAGTGTTGTATAATATGTAGTTTTCAAATTACGCAGTTTAATTCTTAACGAAAGAGAATTTTTTTATTGAATTCGAAAGTGTTAACCAGTATCAACCACAATTTTGGTTTTACACATCACGTGTTCAATTTTCTACATAGTCGTACAAAAGCCACACCTGCATGATCGGCAGTCGATGATATAAACCGCGACAATTCGTTTTTTTCACATCTTACTCTTTTATAAAAAAAAAAAGATGAACGATCCCGAGAATTTACAAGCTGAATCAAACAAAATAGACGAATCGCCTGAACAACAATTAAACGACAGGATATCCATCATGCAAGATTCTTTGCCGGCTACTTGCCTCGTTCAGAATTCACTACCAATCGCAGTACCGGTGGTCTCAAGCGACGTTGATTTCGCGACCTCAAATTTCTTACAGCAAGGTTCAAAGTTTAGCAGTCACACGGATTTCGTGGTGGCAGTACAAGAATATGCGATGCGACAAGGTTTTACAATGCGACTACACAAACTAAAAAGAAACCGAGAGGGTGCTGTTCGATGGAGAGAAATTGTGTGTTCGCGTAGTGGAAGTTCCTGCAAAAAAAAAGTTGGTGAAAGGCCGACTCGAAACCGCCTGTCCCAACGGTGTCGATGCCCATTTCTGATTCGGGCATCAGCCAATGGCGTCTCCGGTTTGTGGGAGGTTATTTCCACAAATTTCAGTCATAATCATGAACTTGGATCAAATTCTGGGACATCATAACCAAAATTGCCGTGTACGTTCGAGATTTTTTTTAGTTCGCGTAGCAAAATCAGTTTCTCAAAACCTTTTTCTAGGATTTTTTGAATTCGACGGAATAATAGTAGCCATTATATATTACGATTAACGAAAGACAATTTTAGAACACCGTTTTCCATTGATTAGCTGATTAGCTACGTAGCGCAAGTTTTTGCTAATGCACTAAA